TAAAGACTAACAAACCTCAATTCTTGCAGTTAGCAATAACATAAAAACACAGAATGGTTTCACACAGGTCACAAAATCTAGACCTGAATTTAATCTATCCCACCTCCAGTTTCTCAAAAGCTGTGGCAGGCTCCCTTTGGGGGAAATGGAACACCTGGAAAGGATTCTGAAACTTTCTTTCCCACTAGACAAAAACTGAGTGGTATTATTGCTCCTTGGGAGAGGACCCTCAGTGATCCATCTTGATTTTGAGAAACTCAATTTCTCCTAAAGAAGGTACCTTTCCACTACCTTCTGTGAAACCTTTTTGGACAAAGGCATGACTAAGCACACCCAACATACAAAGGTGTCAAAATTGGCATTGTTCCATATCCAAAATTGGCTCTTCCACTTCACCACACTCATGCATCAGCATATACATGCAGAAACACCTGAAAGATGCATGGGCATTTCAGGGTATTTGAATTCCCACTTGCTCTGGGAATTCCTCACCTTGTCCTCTGTACAGATACTTTCCTTTGTGTTGCTCATTTAAGGAAAAGGGGGGAAATTAGCACAAAGACAAAAATTGGTTGTGTGTGGTCTGCACGTGTGTACACAAGAGTGATGTGGGCAGCCACACCCACATTAGCCTTGGTTATGCCACAGCTTTTGGCCCATGAAGTCCTTAAAGGCTGGCCAACAAGGAATGTGGCCTTTGGACCGACAAAGGTTGGACAACTCTGTCTTAGGGGTAGCTAGGTACCAAGCTACAATACAATGTTCTGCCTCTAAGTGTGGAATGGCAGATGGTCTTCAAGAAAAAGATATTCATAATATTTAATACAAATGAAGAGGAAACAAAGCAGTCAGTTCCTTTGACATACCTTTTGGAGGCAGAGGGTGTTCTTGGAGAGGAAGTCATGTTGCTCACTCCCACCACCTGCAATAGTGCCAAATATACCTTTTTTACTTTTGGTAACAGAAGCATAAAGCCAAAGGTTCAAAGAAAGTGTATTAACGGTTCTCTAGTGGCCCATTTTTATTTCCTCACCAACAGATGCATGTGCTCAAAGAAAGTGGTTTGCCAACCAAATTCATGTTAAATCAAGCCATGCTGCAGCCAACCATTTTTCAATCTGATGTGGCAAACTATGCACTTGTAAAAGGCTTCATACACGATAGGATAAATGTAATAATCATTTATATGTGCACTATCACACAGAGCTAGGAATTTCAACCAAAAAGCCCCTACCTTTCTTCAGGGGCTAATGTATGCTACGCAATGGGAAAGGTAGCAGGGATAGTCAAAACAGGAAGGATGTCATGGGAAGGGGTAGAGAGAAATAAAGTAATATGACTGTAGGACAGGTGGCTTAAATTGTGGCAAGTTGTTATTGAGCAGATGCTAGCAAGGGACGTACCTAGGGCTGGTGAAACCGTTTTACCACCCCACCCCGCTTTTAATCCCTGAAACAGCTGTGAGGTTGAGTGGTCTCAGAGACAGCGACTGGTCCAGGGTTACTTTTAGCTAAAAAGGGACTTAAACCCAACTCTCCCCAAGCCCAAATTGCTAGGCAACACAACACGCTGGTTGCCTCCAACCCCACACCCCAAAATAATCTGCGAGGGCTGGCTGTAAACCTGTATATTTGCCTGCTTGGGCATATTTTTGGGGACCCACCTGATTTCTGTGGCTGTAAGATCTTTTACATTGTTTCTGAGTATTGCGTTTTAATGGCTGTAACCCGCTGTAATAGTAATAATAACAGGTGGGGATCTTTGCCCTCCTAGTCATCTGAATTAGACGCCCCCCAACTCAACTTTTAAAGATGAAAATCAAACAGAAGCCCCTTCCTTTCTGTCCTAGCAAAGCACCGTGAACCCGCCCTACGGAGCAAGCAGTTTGCATCGTGTCTCTCTCCGCTCCTGCCCCACTTCAGCCATCCCCGCGCCTCCCCGCCGCTCACCCCAAACACACTAACCGCTCTAACACTCCCGTTCGCGCCGCAGCTAGTGCTCCTCTCAACCGACGAACCAAAAAGCCAAGCCGAGGGCCCCTCCGCGCCTACAAGTATTCTCCAATCGCAAGAGCTGTAAGAAACGGAGTCTGAGCTTTTCGCCCAATCCCAGCTCTCTTGCCATCCAGCAATACTTTTAAACTCTCGTTTACAAGGGGAAACGAAGCCCAAACGTGGGAAGAACGGAAAGCGGCGGCGCATGCGAGGAGTCGGCGATAGGCTTATAGAGGCATGTTAAAAGTTAATCCAAACCCTTCGCCAAAACGAAAGCAAAGAGGGAATTAATATAAATCAAAGCAAATCGTTTTCTGGTATCTTAAATCCCCATTTAAGTTAGTAAAAAATTACTACGTCGTTTATTTCCAGAGAAGTCGCCCTGTTAATCAGTTTGCAGCATCAACTAAGAGCAGGCACCCCTCCATATGTTTTGGACTACAATTCCCATCATCCCTGACCACTGGTCCTGTTAGCTAGGGAATCATGGGAGTTGTAGGCCAAAACATCTGGAGGGCCGCAGGTTGGGGATGCCTGACTAAGAGCCTTGGGATACTTTCAAAGCACAGCACATTCCTGTTTACTAAGAGTCAAAAAAATTCATTAACGCTTGGGTATTATGCAGTGGGATCTACTTCTGAATAAACTTAACTAGGGTTGGTGCCCCTGAAGACAATGACACTGCAAATTTTAATAAGCTTACTCGGCAAAAAGTGGCACTGAGTTTAATGGTATTTATTCCTAGGGAGGTGTGCATAGGATTGCAGCTATCATTGCACTTCTGTGCATATTCGCTTGGAAATAAATCCGACTGTGT